AATCATCATTCTTGACAACAGATTTGTGGCAAGCTAGAGATTCTAAATCAGAGTGCATTTTCATACATGAGGTCAAGCCGTAATAAAAGGCTCAGTAAGTATGACCTATTAGAATATCTGGAAAGTATCCGAAGACCCAGATAACTCCACCAAGAAGTTTCTGAACAACAATTTTCCGATAACTTCTTCAAATATAACCCAGGCAATGACCTTAGAGGTCATTTGGAGGTCAAGTTTGTAAATTTAATCAGTAATCACCATTCACCACGCATGTTTTAAAACAGGTTTTAAGAAAAGTTTCTGAACAGCAATTTTCCGATGACCTCATAGGTAATCTGGAAACCACGTTTGTAAATTTAAACAGCAACATCCATTTTTGATAGTAGATTCGTGCTGATAGGAGTGCACTTTCATAAATGAGGTCAAGCGGTCATAAGTGGTTCAGTTACGAACACCCAGAAAACTTAGAAATCTCACATTTCTTTTGAAAACAGATTTTGAAAAAAATTTTAGGATAACTGAAAAGCAAGTTGTCGGTGGTCTCAAAATTGACCTGGACAATAACCTCAAAGGTCATTTGGAGGTCAAGTTTGTAAATTTGGACAGCAATCACCATTTTTGACAACAGATTCGTGTCAAACGTAGAAATCATGCATTTTTGGAAAACACGTTTAGAGAACAGTTTTAGGATATCTGAACAGCGATTTTTCGATGACCTCAAATATGACCTTGATGGTGACCTCATAGGACATCCGGAGACCACGTTTGTAAATTTAAATAGCAACCTCCATTTTTGATAGTAGATTCGTATCGATCTCAAGATTCTATATAGGAGTGCATTTTCATACATGAGGTCAAGAGGTCATAAGTGGTTCAGTTACGAACACCCAGAAAACTTAGAAATCACACATTTCTTTTGAAAACAGATTTTGAAAAAAGTTTTAGGATAACTGAAAAGCAAGTTGTCGGTGATCTCAAATTTGACCTGGACAGTAACCTCAAAGGTGATTTGGAGGTCAAGTTTGTAAACACCATTCTTGACAAGAGATTCGTGTAAAACTTAGAAATCATGAATTTTTGGAAAACACGTTTAGAGAACAGTTTTAGGATATCTGAACAGCGATTTTTCGATGGAAACTACGTTTGTAAATTTAAATAGTAACCACCATTTTTAACAACAGATTCGAAAGATACAAGAGGTCAAGCATGGTTTAGTCAGTATGGCATATTGTAATGCCTGAACAAGGACCCAAAAAACTTCAAGGTCAATTTTTCAAACTTTGATAGAAAACAGCATTTTTCACAGCATATTTCGAATTCTCATTCAAATAAATTTGCTTTTGCTGTGACTTCTATTTTCTTTGTCAGTGAGTATATTTTTATGTCACGATTTCATTTCGTGTTAGAGATTTCTCTAGGGATGAGACCTCTCCACACCCCTAGCATCGTAGAATTAAATCTGACATTACGCGGTTTAACGACCCGAGGCATTTTAGATGAATTTTCCTCACTCACGAGAAAATATTCTCCATTTCGTCCAGCAAAAAATATTCGCGGGAATATCGAAAGTCACAATTTCAGTACCGAAGGAAAAGGTAGTCTTATAAGAATGTTGTTGAAATATTGGATACCTCCACAGTAGATGGTACAACTTCAAATTACAAGTGCCCTATGTTCTGTTCATTTCCTCTCCTTGCATCTGTTATCCTTGCCTTTTTTACTTCATGCGCCGCTGGCGAGGAAGATTTCACGTTGCTCAAAATTTTTGTAGGGGTTAAAAATTGGGTGTTGAGGATTGTAGGCGGATTTTTGATATTAGCAATGCATACGTTTCTTACCTCCCTATTAGGCATATTTCATACATTATCATTCTGCTTCACGGCAACGCTCGGCCTTACGTTGCGACAAGGACACATAAGCAGCTTTGTTGGAAATTGTCGGATCATCGACCACACAGACCTGATTTAGAACCATCAGCACTTGGAAAATGATGAGAGAAACAGTTACTAACTGGTTTAATGACCAGACGGCAGCGATCTTTGATGACAGGTGCCACGTATTGACAAATTTTTTGATTTTTATAGTGAAAAATGTTCATATTTTAGTTTATGATACAATATACGTTGATATGACTCGATTTCTAAACGGTTCTTACTTAAAAAAGGCCCTCGTATATGATTTAGCGTCGATGCAGCGGCCTGGCATGCACAGCTCACTACGATCTCACTCGTCTTGCCTCGCGCATATCTATTGATCGCTTCTGCTTTCTGGCTTCTGCATTTGACTTTTCTCTCTGCATTCCCAGGTCAACACACACCACACACCGGATATTTTTCGGACCCTTTTAATGCCTACTCCCTTTCAACTGACTCGTGCGGGAGTCAAGGGAGGAACTAACAAACATTAGCAGCTAGACGCGGTCGGCAACATTTGAGAGCCAAGTCTAGACGATGCTGATGAGTTGCCGAAAATCACAAAACATGGCATAGTAAGTAGAGCCACTATCAGAGCTTACTGGACAATACTAGCAGCGAAAAATAGGTTTGGACTAGTTCTGCCAGAATTTTAAAATATTTGCCCATATGGTAAAACCACCAACCCCAATAACGGTTACTCATGTTCATGGAGATCATCGACTGTATCATGCTGGAAGTCCAATTTCCGTTAAAGTCCGGAGCCCTTTCCAGGAAAATATGAATTCTAGCGGGAATGACTACGTAGCATATACTTAATGAGTTTTTTCCTGGCCGGTATCTGTCTGCAAACGGCTAAGAGCTGGAAGAGCGTGACTCAACCCTATATATTCTAGCGCCACGCATTTTATCTCTGTCGTGAGTTCAAGGGCGTATCTTGCTTTTTATAATGGTAAAAATAGCCGACGGTTCACATTTCTCAGCAAAAGATTTTGAAAATCCGTAATTTGCCTTCATCTTGAAGACTAAGATAGACCCTGAAGTTTTCCAACTTGTCTTACTGTGATTTTACTGACGCTGCAATCAATTGGATACGTTGTTATTAGTCAAATAAAAATCAAAATCAGCTTCAAAAATGTCGGAATCGACTGCTATAAAGTACGGTGTTCCTCAAGGTTCCATATTGGGTCTATCAATTTTCTCTATGAGTATATGATTTCCATCATTATGCCTATAATTGTACAATCCGTCGCTAAACCGATGATACTCAAATTTATTTTAGTTTTCAATATAAAGATTTTAAAATGGTCCAGGCATTAGCGAATGAAGATTTAACAAGGCTAGTAGACATCTCATGCTCCCATAACAACCACGATATTTGCATAAGAAGCTATAACGATGTAGCGACATAAACCAACTAAATATAAGGAATAGAAATATGTAAGTGACATATAAAAAACCATTTAGTTACAATGCTATTAAATTATATAATGATCTACCTGTTACGTTCCAAAAGTACACAATAGTCTTAAAAGGAACTTAAACTGAAAGCGGATGCCGATGTCTGATGAAAACAATGTATTTTTTGTGTCGTTAATTAGTTATTATTGAGTAATATGCATACAGTTCCATTAAGTCAGTATTATATTTTATTAATTTTTTCTTTGTTTCAAAAGGTTAAGTTAAAAACTGCTACTCTTAGCAACGCCCCTTTTGTACAAAATAAGGCCCATTTATTACCATCATAATTCGAATGAAGGACCCTAAATTCGTCGTCTCATAATTTGCAAAATTTGTACTACATACCATATTGTGCAGGTAGACCACACATGAGCGCCTCCTATAGAGAAATCGCGCAAAGACCGTAGTGTTGGTATTTTCCTAAATTAACGCAACCCGCATTTCGCTATCATGGTTTGACGGTTGCAGGCTCTTAGGAACAAGGAGATATGGCCTCTCATAATGCTGGTTTTATGTAAGATAACGAACATGTTTGCATATAGATTTGATTTTAACTTTAGGGGTATCGACTACATGTTCCGGCTGATGAAGGTACCATTTATCAGAAGTAGGTATGTTGAAACGCCTTCACATGTTCCAGTGCAAGTGGCCAGCAACAGAATTATGTCTGTCTAGGTATTCCTTTGCTGTTAGTATTGCACAGCCTGCATTTAGGGTCGTTAGAACTGCCCAAGATTTTAGTTTTGTAGTACCTAGTAGCTAGAACCTAGTCTTGACATGGACGTATAATAGATTCGGTTTCCCCTTTAATTTCACCAATTTTCAACTTGTTCCTTGTGAATGTTTGATGCATTTGCTCGCTATGTGCTTCTTTTATGTATTGTCCTTGTAAAGGTTTGTTTATTACTATTATTACTATATATATATATATACTGATGCAAAGAGCCTTTCTGTGACGTCACTGTATCGACAGTCACTTCGTTGACGTGCGTATAACACGCTCCTTCTCCTCTCCATCATCGTTAATTAGAACTAGTGTCCACCTACAGCGATTCCCTTTCCCCTCACTCATTTTTCTACCCTGTATTCTCAAGGGTGGGGGTAGCAACTGCACTGGCTCACGGTAGGATATAAATCATGCTCCTCTTCGGCACCGAGGCGCCTCTCTTATGACTGTCTTTTGGTTTCTCATGCATTTGTTTTGATTAATAATGAACCTTAAATTTTGGAGAAAAGTTCCAATATCAATATGTTATTTTTTTAATACCAGAGCATAGATTGCCAGCCTGCGGTCCGCGAGTAAGTGTATGTCTTAGCTCTAAACAAATAGCCTAGTTATTTCCCAGTAGCTGCCGCTATTGACGAGATGTGTTGATGTCAGATGAAGTACTCGGTGATCTGAACTCCGACCAGCTGAAATGAACAGCACTGTGTTTTCGAAGCGTTAAACTGTATGAGACTGTTGCGTCCCCGCAGTGATAACCTCGCTTTAAATTCATGCATGAAGAGTACTGTCATCAGATCAGACTGATCGTACAAGAAAGGAGGTCGTTGTCTATTACATATCAACGATCTCCATTTCTGTACGATCAGTCCAATCCGAAGCTTTGATGATAACAGCACCCTGAGCCGCTCATAGCAGCCGCGGTGCGCCGGTATTTAGGCTTTGCCTACCCGGCTACTTCGCCTTGACTCAATTTTCATGTTCTAAACAGAGCTTAAGAGAAAATGCTAGTGGAACATACTGTACACATCCGCTAGCGAATCAAGCAACCGTCACGGGTCTGACACGCCTGTCAAATTGTTTAATCCAGAATTCAAGTGATGTTACAGATATTCAACCATCTGAAGAATGTAGTCGTTAAAGGGTTCCCGATACTTCAACGTCGTAATTACCAATTCACGAAGACTCTGAATGGGTACGCTTTGGCTTCGCCTGCGAAGTACGAGCTGGAGAACAAATACGCGCACCAGAAGGTCAGGAAAAGGTATGAAAGATCTGATGTTGATTAAAGATAGGCAAGGATCCGCGATTTATCGAATTTTTATTACGAGAAGGAACAGTTTTTCGACCTTGGCATAATAGCAAGCTTGTGTGAAAATTTCATCAACATTCGATCAGACTGCAACCAAAAGTACGTTCGTATGCTTTCTCACTTATAATACATCAAGGAATTCAAGCTCAGGCTCAATTTGAGATAAAATATTCAAGGCGGTTTGTACAAACTAAATTTCCTAAAAAAATGCCGTAGTTACTAATCTCTTTAAACAACAAAAATTGGCTTAAGTTAAACACAGTTTACACAATTTCAAACGGGCTTCAAATACTTGTGCGTTAAAATGACCACCGCACCCGCGATGGGTGTAAAAACTTGGTAAATGAGAATTAAACCAACATTTAGTTACTACTAGTTGTTGTCAGCCGCTAAAAAACTTTCAATATACAGTATTATTTTCCGGCCTCGTCTCGTAAATAGAATAGATATGTAGTACCCCGTTTTCGACCAAACCCACACTACATTTCTAATCTATTCACTTCAGGCGTTCACATAATTCAGATCACTTACAGGTAAATTCGCTTGATCATGCAATTTTGAACGCGTTTTACGAAAAATCTACAAAATCCGTTCAGTGGATCCGTGTTCCGAGGTTCAAGTCTAAGAGCACTCCACTAAATGAACTTTGATATAAGCTGTGTTTAAACCATGTATTTATTGGGTATTGAAAGTGTTCTGAGATGTGAGCCAACTCATTTTTATTGCTACTTATTATTTTTGTTTTATAGGAACCAGCAAATAGTTGAAGAGATCGGGCTTAGAAGGAAACAAATCTGGATGGACGGATGGACTGACTCTACCGGATATCCGCCTACAAGAGGCTGAACCCTTTACTAGTAATACAACTATACTTATGTCATCTTAATCAAGCATCTTTATAATGGATTAAACATTTTCTCATTTGAATTTGTTTTATTAAAGAGTTCTCAAAAAATTAAAGGAGCAATAATAAATCCTCGTATAAAATAATACGTATAAAAAATGGCGAATGTGTGAAAAGTAGCTTAAAGATCAACGTTTTTTAAATAAAAAATTCTTGTGTCTGAAAAAAAGTCTGGAAACCTTATTTTTTAGACAACCCTCGTAAGCACAGTGAATATAACATTTGATTGCATTGTTTGAGGATTTTTTTGTTTCCTCAGTATTGGTTTTAAAAACGTTACTTTTTGCATTTGGAAAATCGACCGCATTTTTTGAACTGTTAATGGGAGGCTAATGTTTTTCAGGTTTTTCTTTTACCTCAATGTACCCCCAATAACCGCGCAATACTTGACTTGTCGCACCAAAGAAAAGGAAAGTGCCAACTTTGACTACAGAGTAGTACAGATGCATCAATCTAATGCATCATTTCTTAATCCAACCGTGCATAGAAGATTTCTTGAAGAAACGTGTGTACCGACGCGCATAAACAAAAAAATGCGTGTCCCTTCGGAATACAGATCATTCAGAGAAACACGCAATACGGTAAACATATAAAAGCAATCTCCCAGTTATATGGAACATAAAAGATCAGAGTCAATATCGGCCACGGAATACTGATTAGCAAGAGACAGTTAACAGACCTGGGGTGATGCTTTTCGGTCTTGTTTTATTTTAATGTACACGATGAGTCTTCAAAACCTGCGTGGGACGTACAACGAATACGAAATGCTTCATTGTTTCAGGATATATATGTATATGTAAGAAGGAACCAAGTACTATCAAAAGGAAGTAGTACTTAGATCCACGAAATAAAAACTGAAAACAAGCTCCTTGGTGCAAACTTTCATCCTATGGCCTCCCAAAGACCACATGTACACTACCGTTCAAAAGTATAATCATAACAAACAAAAAAAAACTATTCAGTGCGTATTTATTTTTCTTTCTCCATTGAAAACAATCACCATGGAAATCAAGCATCACTGATAGGTCATTGAAATCAAAATTTTGCTCATACTATCACCACTCATAATAGAAATTGATGCCCTACATCTCAAGGACACTTAAAGGAATATTAAAAGACGAACGGAAAATAACTCCATCCACTTTGGAAAAATTAGTTGCGCGTTTACCCGCTGTAATTAAACGCGAAGGAGGACATACTGATGAGTCAAAAATATGATTATTTTGATTATAAATGTATGTTGTTAAGAATTAAGAAAATAAATGTTTCATACATATATTGTAACAACATCCATCAGTTTCCTTGTTTTCTGGGTGTTCAAATACTTGTGAACGGTAGTGTAGTAATTGACGGCTTCTGCTGTTTATCCCACAACGTCAACGCGGGTGTTCCCCAGGGATCAGACTCATATTTTGCGTTAGATACCCATATGCAAAGCTTATCCCGGATGTGATAGGATGATCGAAAGCTGACCGAAAAATTGAGAAGCTTTAAATGCGATACAAATGACATTTACCGTACGTATTAAATATTGTTTTTCTTTAATAACTTGATATACCCGCCCATGGCGTACTGCCTCCGACGCTGAGGTGCTCGGTTGAACGTGAACACAGTGGCAGCAGGGTCTTCAAACTTTCCTAATCAGTATTCCTGTGTCGATATCGGTTCTGCTCTTTTATTTTGTGATGAGACCGCCGGCTGAATAGCCAATCAGGCTTTCCCAATTCTTCTGCCGCCTCCGCGTCCACGTCGCGACAGAATCCGAAAGCTCGTCTTACGCAAACCCGTCCAGACGAATGGTACGTCAAGAATATGTACCAATACCAATCCTATTTATGCGCTCGCTACATAGTCATATACAGGGTGTTTCAGTTTATTGTTGCATAACTTTAAGATTCGATAGAACTTTTAAAATTAATGCATAAAGTCTATATAAACATGGGTCGAAAAATGCGTGGCTTCCGAAATACAGGGTGTTTAAATTTACTTTCTAAAATAGTTTTTTTAAATATTTCGAACAATATTTGATGTATAACAGGGAAAATTGGTATACAAGGGTTTTTTGGTACTACAAAACGAACCATGGGCATAGTTTTACTGTAGCCGCTAGAGGGCGCTCGCTACTGTACCTGTAGTATATTAAAATGACCGAAAAGTTTTTCTTAGTGCAATTCTTTGCTTTTTGAATAAAAAAACTGATTCTTCGCACTTTTCAACATAAAAGAGCTCTCCTGTGAGTTTTCGTTATAGTTAGCCGTTTTTGAGATATTTCGATTTTTGAGGTTCGATGCATTTTTAATTATTTATGGGAAAATAATATTTTTTTTACATTTTCGATTTGGGCATTACAAGTAATCAAGATGATCGTTTAGATTGTGTTTTTAAACACAGCAATAATTCCTAACTCCAAATAAACACAAAAAATAAAAATGGCGTTTTTATAAAACTTACAAAAAAAAAAACAGGTAAAAGAAACTAAATTTCGTGCATTCACGATTACAAAAAAACGTTTCAGGTTTCAACAGACAACAAAACTAACTGTCAACTAATTGACGTTTAACCTTATTCTGCTTTCAATTTCAAAAATATTTGCAAGCACAGGCTACTTCTAAAAATTATCGAGATACTGACTTTTTAACGTTATTTTATCATAAATAATTAAAAATGCATCGAACCTCAAAAATCGAAATATCTCAAAAACGGCTAACTATAACGAAAATTCACAAGAGAGCTTTTTTATGTTGAAAAGTGCGAAGAATTGCACTAAGAAAAAAATTTCGGTCATTTTAATACACTACAGGTACAGTAGAGAGCGCCCTCAAGCGGCTAAAGTAAAACTATGCCCATGGTTCGTTTTGTCGTACCAAAAAACCCTTGTATACCAATTTCCACTGTTATACATCAAATATTGTTCGAAATATTTAAAAAAAACTATTTTAGAAAGTAAATTTACACACCCTGTATTTCGGAAGCCACGCGTTTTTCGACCCATGTTTATATAGACTTTATGCATTAATTTTTAAAGTTCTATCGAATCTTAAAGTTATGTAACAATAAACTGAAACACCCCGTATAAAAAAATCGATCCTAAATATCGGGTATCGATACTTCTAAGAATCGGATCGTATCGAACATCCCTACCTTTGACTCTCATTCATTTCTGTGACAGCAGGCGCAATATTTATCCCATTATAAAACATGCCTCCTTCTAATATTCTTTATCGACCATCAGCAGGTTATAACGAGCGACAGACTTCCTTCTTCCACCTTCACGTAAAAACAGCTTACTGTTTATTCAACGACTACATAGCGGCCATTAGTGGCTGTTTCCGCCCTGCATTTGCCTTCCCACTGAGAAACGACAAGAACATTCAACGAACTTGTTCCGATAGATGGAGGTCATGACTGCATACAAACAAAAAACTTCCTGCTAGTTATTAGATATAGGTATCCTAATTCATTATTGATGGTTTTATGGGTTGGATAGGCCTATCTTCCATTTGACTTGACATTACACACACGAAATAAACATCATTGTTCTGTAAGCTGTCCATCGTAAATACAGGGTGTTTCAGAACTAAGGGATCAAACTTCTGGGGGTTATTCTGTGTAACAGTAGAAAACATTTCAGTATAGGGAAAGTATTTCTACGGCACCACGGCCCTAAGACGCGTTTAAATCTATAAAGACGATGAATTGCCTAAATAGGATTTAATGCATTTAATTTTTACCTCTTGTACATAATATCATCCCAACAATTGTTCAAAATGTTTTCCTCCAAACTGGATATACCATCATGTACGAAAGGCGAAAA